AATAACTTATTTAGATACTTCAATAGGTAGAATTGTTAGTAAAATAGATTGTAGAAATGAAGAAATAGTCGGATCTATTGATGGGGTCATATATTTGGGACATAATGATGGAACTGTCACGTTACATGCACCTATACAGGATGAATATTTGATGAAGATTAAAACTGGGAATGATTTAGTTGATATTGCAACTAGTATTGTTTCGATAAGCGCCCCAAAAAAATTTATGCGCCCCACAATCGATTATGCGCCCCAAAATATATATATATAAATTCTAATAAAATTTTTTAATAAAATTTTTAAAATATATAACCCTTTTGATTTATGAAATATTGATGTGTATTTTGGTGGAGGAAGAATCTTTTGAAAAATTTAAAAATAACAAAAAAAAAGGTAATTAATAAAATTCTCTATTATTTATTATTTATTCAACAACCCCTACCCCTTAAGGGTAGGGGTAGGGGTTGTTGAATAAATATTTTTAATCTTCTAAAAATTTTAACAAAAAAAAATTATATATATATTTTGGGGCGTTTAATCGATTATGGGGCGCTTATCGAAACGGTACCTTGCAACTAGTTATAACTATCTTTATACAAGTACTTCTAATTCTATCAAACAGTTTGATTTGAGAAATTATTTAAAACTATTAAAAAGAGTGGAGGGAAATTAGCAACTACTAGTAAGGAATATATTTCCACTTATAGAAATAAGAATATAGACGTTTTTGATACAAAATTAAATCTAATACATAATACAAAATTAGCTGAATCTATCAACAGTGTTTCTTTCAACTCATTTGAAGATATTTGTGTAGCTACTACGAGAAAAAGAATGAAATTTTTGTTATTTCCTGGTACTGCTGATGTAAATTTTGATACGAGAGAAATTTCTCCGTTTTTAACTAAAAAACTAAAACAAGAAAGAGAAGTTAAAATGTTGCTTGAAAAAATTCCACCTGAGATGATTTCTTACAATTCAGAAGTTTTTTCTAATTTTAATTAAATTATTTTTAAATAATCTAATTAGTAGAATTATGAATTATTATTAAAGAATTTTTTAAATAATTTTTTTAACAATAGTTTATTTAGAGGTTATTGTTTCTTTAATTAAAAAAGAAAATTTAATAATTATTTTCTATAATTATAAGATGTGTTGACATTATTGTTTTTTAAATTAAAAAAACACAGTAACCTTTATTAATTTAAAAAATATTCTTTTGGTAAATTCTCATATATTTTAAACTTAAAGTAAAATTATTATTTTGATAAATTAAAAATAAAAACACATCTAATTATTACAATTTTTTAAAGAATTTTATTTTTCACTATTAATAATTATAAATTTTATTAAAAGTTTATTTTTAAAACAAATTAAAAGATGTTTTGATGATTTTTTATATAAAAATAAATTTATATTTAAATTATCTATTGATATTGTAAAAAAATTTTAAAGTATAATTGTAAAATTAAAAATTTTAATTAAACTTTTATGAAAAAAAACTTCCCATAATTTCCTTTAAGATTTGCCTTAAGTTTTAACATTACTGTAACAAAGACTAATAAATTTAAACTAATAAATATAAACAATCCACGTAAAAATTTTTCAACTGTGAATCTTTTATTGAGAAATATATTGAAAGGAGCAAAAGTATCACCACCTCTATTTTGAGTAAAACTCTTATGTGTATTAACTTTTTTTACAACTTCATAAATAATCATATAAAAAGCATGAAAAAACCCTTTAGCGTATATTGAAAAACTTCCAAATAAAACTTTAAGTATTATTGATATTAAAAAATACAATCCTTCATTGAATATTAATGATAAATATAGACACAATAAATAAATAAAATTGAGTGCTAACAGATAATAAATTATAATCAATAAGACCATCTTTAGATTAGAACAAAGTAAAAGGAATGTTAAAATATCCCAAACAATCATTAACGTAAGTTCTCGAATAGAAACATAATAACATGCGCATAAATATCCAAATACACTAAAATAATTTTTTCTATACTCAGCTTTATGATTTTTTAAAAAATTTAAAAAAAACCCACATCCATACAAAGATGATAAAATTAGTCTAAAATAAATATATACTCCAATAATAAGAATTGGATTATCATTCCAATAAGAACTAAAAGTTTTTGAATTATCAATTTCTTGAAATACTAAATCATGGCAAAATCTTGTATCATTCAATATAAATTCATGAAGCATGTTAAATATACTCGAAGAAGAGGGTATTTTTATATTACTGGATTTATCAGGATAAAATTCTATTTGATTTGTTTTATTTTCTTTTTGAATCTTTAACACGTATTTACTGACTTTGAAAACATAATATAAAAATATAATATTAGGAAGTATTATATGATAAATAGAAGATAAGAAATCACCACTAGATAAATTAGACATTAATATGGTTGCAGCTTTCTTTATCATTGAAAATTTTTTAAATTTTGTCTCAATAGGTTTAGTATACTCAATTTTTAATTCTTTTGTATGAATTTTCCAACATTCAGTTAGTAAATTATACTTTGTCTCTGATTCATCAGTTAAATTTAATTTGATGATTTTTAAAAAGAAATCTGGATATTTCATTAATTTTTGTTCTTTTATAAATCCTATAGATGCAAAATATTTAATTGCTTCTTCTTTGGTTCCCTGAAACACAACACTTCCATTAGTCATCATAATAAACTCATCAAATAAATCAAAAATATATTCTGATGGCTGTTGTATTGATAAAAGCACTGCTTTTCCAAAATTAGATAACTCTTTAATTATAAATATTATCTTTTGTGCTGAAGAATTATTAACTCCAGCAAATGGTTCATCAAACAGGTAAACAGATGCCTTTGTAGTTAAATTTGTTGCAATTGACATTCTTATTTTCTGACTCGCTGAACAGTCTTTAAATTCTTTTTCTTTCTCATCTGTCAAATACAATTTATAAATAATATCATTTGCTACTTCTTCTGAGTTTTTA